CCCCAAAAAAAAAAAAAGATAGAAGTGACAGAAATTATCTTCCAAATACAGTATTTAAAATTTACAAAATAAAGTATATCAATCTAAAAAAAAAGAAACTTGATCACTTATAGATTAATGCAGAAGAACAACTGTTACTGTAATGCCATAATCTGTACCGATAAAATGTATCCAACTACAACCGATAATGGTAAAGTTGATCAAGAAGACGCTAATTTATTAGGAACCTTAACAGATCCAAAAATTTGATGTAAGTTGATGTTATCAATTAACTAACCGTTCTGAACGATACAGCAAAACTGTTTCCAACAGACTACAACAGCAAAGTAAAAAAGCGTTCAGTTCAGTAAACAAATAGATCAGAGGGAAAAAAACAAAACCTTCAACAGTGTCATATGTATTCTTCAGATAAAATTCATTGAAGAACACTGATTTGTTATGATTAGTTGGCTTATAGTACGCCAAAAATGAAAAGACAATTGCTTATATGAAAAGCACAAAGAAAATTGAAATATACATTTCGTCTTTTTTTTTTTTCTTTTTTTGCCGTTACTTGCAGACCGAAAGAAGACGAGACTAAACTATGTCTAGTGCATTATCTCTAAAACACACAATGAATACCACCTCTCAGTTAAACGATACTAACAGCAACGAAAAAAAAAAAAATTAGCTGATGTAGCCCAGACATTTATTCAGAAAAACAAAAGCAAATTTTAAGCTTGATTAGTCACAAGTATAAAGTCATATAGTTTTTTTCAAATATGACAAACAGTTACAATAAAGATAAGTGGAAATTTTTCAATCATTATTATCATGTTTATCAATCCATACATTCATTGTCAATAATCATCGTTCTAGCAATGTCTGAGCTAAAAAAAAGCGACTGAATAACAGTTATAGACTACTTTTCTGTTGTTGCTTATGAGTTTAAATAAGAAAAAAATTATTTTATAATTATAAACAGCATTTTGTACCCAAAAAAAATTTAAAAAATCAACTGAAACAATGGTAAAGCTAAAGTATCGACAACAACAATAACAACAACAACAAAACAAAAAAAGGAAGAGAAGAAAAAGAAGAAACTAAGCAAAGAAAAGAGGCTGTTGAATAAGGTTGAGTAGCACCAATAATGGCAAAAACATAAAATTGTTAAAAGAAAACTTTTAATCAAATTTTCTTTCCTTCGCCCGATGTATAGTGCTGAAAAAAAAAAATATATATATCTGCATTAATCAGATTTGATTTTATTTTTTGGTTTTTTTTTTGAATCAAACAAACTTTGTTTTCTAGCCTAACACCGTTAGTTAGCACGTCTATGCATGTGTATAAATAAATAATAATTCTTGTCATCAATATCCACTAATCCCATTGCTCTTTGAAAATTCTCCCATAAACATTGTATAGAATATACACACATACCTATTAGCTTCACATATCGACAGCCTCAAATGCCGTTCAAATGCCTAAACTGTACCCTCATCTGATGTCCATAATCCACCAGAATATTTAGCTGAAAAAATCCTGACAGTTTCAACCTATGAATATCTACAAAATAGGTAAAAAATAAAATCTTTTAGAAAAACTTTATACACAAAAAGCAAAACAAGCAAAAATTTTAAAAAAACTATATTGCGAACAACAGCGGTATACATATTCAGTTGAATTTCTAAATATTATTTCAAAGACAACGTTTACAGAACAGATATATTTTGTCTTCAAACCAACTGATAAACAGTCATTACCAAAATAACTTTATGGCAAAAAAACAGTTGACGAGTCCAATAATTTCAAAATCGGTGAAAAAAAA